TACATTTTTTGATGCAATAGAGTTTTGTGAGGGTTGAACACAAGAGTTTGCAGACATGCATACATTCAATTTCCACTCGTGTGGGGGATTGTTATAATTGAGTGCAAATTGTAATTAAAAAAATCAAAATTCTTTCTTGATTTGTGTGCCATTAGATGACAATTTTCAAACCCATTCTTCTCCTCGTGCCATGTGATGGAAATTTGCTGTCAATGGCCAACTTGAGCTTAATAAATAAGCAATTGGCACTCCCAATCTCACTATAAATAGGTGTGTCAGGCAGAAATAAAAGTACACCAAACAGAAGAGAAAAAAGAGGGGAAAGAAAGAGAAAGAGAAAGGAAAGAAAGATAGATTTATGTCCAAATATCGGATATAAAAATATCAAAAGAGAAAAAAACAAGTGATATTTTTATTTGTTTCAAGAATTCCTTTTATTACTAAGTGCTCAATTCTCGATTCTGTTCCCATTCGCCGGAGCTCGTAAATCTGGTGTGCTACAGATTTAGAGACGTTTGTCGTTGTATCTTTGGAGAAGTTACGCCTGAACCGTTAGCTGCCACACGGAGCGTATTCTTCTTGCAAAAAGAGTTTTACTCGCCTCGGCTAAAATCTTTCCGTTTTTCAGTTGTAATTTATTTTTCAGTTCAATTGTAATTTTCTATTTTTAGATTATTTGTAAGAACTGAAATTACATATCAGTTCGTAATATTCCCGTGTATTTTAAACCAAATATCCAACAAGAATTACCACCAATAAATGAGTTTGAATTGCTTTGAGTAAATATCTAGTTAAATCATTAACGCAGTGTTGGAAATAAAATTCAATTCTATTCTATTATCCGTTTTACTTTGGTTTCTTCCTGAATTCACATTCTTTGTATAACTTTTTAAATTAAAAATCAACCACTGCTACACATGATCTATAAATTTATTTTTCATAACCGCCACATATTATTTCATTATTTCTCTATCTCATCACAATTAATTATATTTTTAATTAGTTAGTGGTTTTAGAATACCTCCATAATCTATATATATATAAACAGATATACTATTTTTAAAAATTGGTAGGTCAACCTTGGTCAAATTTTAATTAGCATTAATTACTTATCATTTTTAGTAAATTTTTTTATTTTTAAAAAAACTAGCAGTGTTGCCTTTAAATTAGGGATTTTGCTACATTTTTATTTGAGGTCATTTGAATGAAGTTTAAGATAAGATGCATGATTTGCGGGTATGTTTTTGTATTTAATTATATAATGTTTGTTTTTATTCAATTCATGATTATCTCTTCAAAAAATTATGATGATCTCTTTTAAATTATAATTACTTTTTGAAAAGTAATTCTTATATCCAGTAATGTGAACAGACTAGCTAGATACATTAGTTAGTTGTTAATTTCTTAAATATTACAAATTAATCTATTCTATGAATAAATAGGAATTATAAGGATATCATATTTTTGAATCAATTAAATAATTATAATTATTATAGTTAAACCTGTTGTGGACCTAAAGTAAAAAAAAAATGATCAGTAGTGTCTAAGTATGCAAATAAATAAAAATTATCTGAAATAAAACTTACTTAAAAGTTATATTTAATTTCGGTGTCTTTTTTCATACTTAACTCTGATAAATCACGTGGTTATAAACATAAAAGAAATATGTATATACCACACTAAAACTAAAAAGTGCATAAGTTGTTCTGAATAAATAATTTAAAAGAAATTATCAAAATGTACAAATATAAATTCTACAATTATTAGTTGACGTAATTGAATAAGTTGTTATGAAGAAATAATTGTATGCGTACAAAAAATCGTTTGACTGTAACTAAAAAATGATAATATTTTTAAAAATTTTGTACTCAAATTACTTAAATAATAATTATAATAATTTTGAAATCTCATTTACTCAAATTTGTAGGTACCGTCATAATCATGTCAATATTTAATTCATATATACTATGTAAATTTTCTACCAAAAATTTTGCAATGTCTTTATTTAAACTTATAATATTATAGATATTTTTATATAATATTTTATCATGTCATATTATATTTGTATATACGTATACATATACATATAAAATTTAAATATTTTTAAGAATGTTTTCTTTACAAGACAAAAAAGAAAGTTTATAAAACATCTTTTATACAAAAGTGAAAGTTAATGTTTTTAGACACGTTTTATTTCCAAAATAGTTTAAAAAAGTTGTAGGTGGTTCACATCTTTTAATAATAATATAGAAAATTTTAGATTTTTTTTTACATATGTTAATACAATATTTTAAGTGTCTGTAATATTTTAAACATACAAATTTTATGTACTTTTGTACAAACTAATTTTAGATTGTTTATAATAAACTGGTATACGGTAAATTAATGGAGATCGAAACCGTGCACAATAGTGTTTCATGAATTGAACAATAAAGTTTGTCATGTTGCACGACAGTGATTGAAACTGACCGAACTAAGATTTTGGGTCCGAATATTTTATATATCGATTCATTTATCTATTTTTACCTTTTAAATTTCGAATATTTCGTTTCTATGTCGAGCTTATTATTTAAAATAGCCGAGATAACTGAAACAACCGAACAATAAGTGGTGGCAAATCTGCTATTTTGTAAGATCACAATGTGTTTTTAATGTACATGTTAACACACAATATTGTGCATTTTATGCATTCTTAATGTACATTTATTCAACTTTTAATAAATTATAGAATTGCCTCGCATATTAACGTGCAATATGTTAACAATTCTAAAACTGCAGCAAATCCCTAAGACTTGTTTAATTTTTTCAAATAAGCCCCAACACCCAAAAAAAAAAATCATTTCCCGTCACTACACACAGAGAATAGCCACCCGCCACCTGCCCCATCGCCGTACAATAAGAGCTCATAGAATTTGGAATGACTTGTTAAATTATATAGGAAGGCCCCATTTACCTTGAGTGACAGGATAAGACAAATTAATCTGAATAACTTCACACGTCATTGAGGGTTAGATATTTAAAAATGGATCCCTCATTTACTTCACTAGATTAGGTGAGATGATAAAACAGCAAAAGACCACTTTACCCTTATATAGCCTTTACACTTTTCTTCTCACTAGATACCATTTCTCTCCTTTTTTTCTGTACATGGTAGAGCCCTAATTCTGACGACAAGCCGCGACGACCAGACGTTGGCCTCGGCCACAAGCCGCGACGACCGAAACTTGGACGTGCACGACATCCGACATTGATAGACGAGTGTGGAAAATATTACATTCGTTTACCTCCACCCAAAACCGAACCCAACGATTCATCCGCAACCCCCACCATAGTGTCGTTTCTTCAGCAA